GAAGTGAACTTAGTTGAAATATATGATTGATTTACTGTTTCAGTTTTATAAGATAATAAAGACAGTCTCAATCACTCATATATCAATACTGCAGTCAGTCTAATAAGTGTATAACAGTTTATTTACTTATCTTGAGAAGCAGTTGAATCACTCAAAAAGAAATTCAGTCTGAGATGATGCTATAGCACAGGCTATTATTACTATAAGAGATAAACTGATATATTACTACAGCAAAACTGAACAATCTTTTACAGAGTACTATACTGTAGCAGCTCTACTAGATCTCTTCTATCAAGTTAATATCTACACTTCTCAAGATTGAACAGAGAAGAAATAAGACTTATATGTTAAATTAGTCTGAGACTACTACAATATCAACTATCAGAGATTTGAATGAGCAGATATTCAAGATGTGAAGACAGTGAAATACAATTCTCTAGTAAGTAATGATCTTTGATAACACTTTATATTATATAGAACTATAATACTAACTTTGAAACAGAACTTGCATACATTGATTGCAACTGAAAATCAGGTAAAACTACATACTTGTAAAACTGAATTTGATCACTATCTTCAAGATGATTTAATGAATTTACATATCAAATCAATTCTAGAGTTATAAAAAATTGTTAAGAGTACATATTCAACTGTTACACTGATGACATGTGATATTCTGACAATTTCATTGATAGAGGTGAGAATGAAGTGAAAGTTCAACTCAAGTTGAGATATTTATTACTATTATCAGAGACAATTACAAGAAGAAATAATCAAGAAACTCATGATTATAAAACATGAAATTATCAGACAGTTTAATACCTCTGATCACAGTATATCAGAAAAGTGTAGTTTTTATGAGAAAGTGAAGAATAAACTTGTGCAAGAATGTATTTAGTTATTTCATAAGTGTTACTAATAATCATTACCAAATTCTGATTATATAAGCAATCACTGAATGAACTGAATGAGACTGATTTTAATCTTCAGTCTCAGTCTCATTCTGATTTTGAAAGAATGATCATTTTTCACAGTTTATTCTGAGAAATTACTCTCATTTCACTGTTCTTGAATTAAATCTGGTCATTTTTCACATCATTTCTCTCAGAAATGGTCCATTTTCAGATTTTTTTGAGGCTTGGTCCTGGTGAGACTCATGTTAAGAAATGTATGAGATCAGACCAAATGAGACTAAATGTGAAATTCATGGTCCCGCCGGCCAGTCTAATTACATCTCAGTTACTTATATATCTGCACTGAGAAATAACAACAATGATGCAGATATCATGAACTGAGTAGACTTGAATATCTATACATAAGCAAGGATCTCTGCTGTCTGAACTGACTTTCAAGTTTCTGAGATCACTTCTGAAGAAGTCACTGACTGATATTAATAAAAGATGTGTATTAATTGTAACTAATTAGAACATATTACTTTCAACTGTTAATCAGTTTATATATCTTCTCATTCAAGAGAAAGATCAGTGTCTTCTTACTTAAAGAATGAATCAGTGTCTGTCTGTATCAATCACATTATATTGAAGAAAGATTGAGAAGATAACTATGAGAATGTTCTGATAAAACAGGGAAAAGATTAGCTTTTGTTTAAATTTACAAGCAGGAGCTTGAAGAGGTCAGATAATAATAATTTAAAGAGAAAATAATAATAGATGCAATTTTTATATCTACTGTAATAGATAATATATATAATATAAAAGTCATGATAGACAGTGATCTATGCTATTATACAATAATTAAATCTTCAGTTATAAAATATTATAATCTTCAGTGTATTCTCTTATTAAAATCTCAACTTCTCACAGAATTTGATGATTCAAAAGACATTCACATCTGTTTTATGATGAAACTAAACATAGATGTCAGAGAACATTAATAAGAAGATGTTTATATATATGAAGTTAATAATCTTGACTATAATCTTATGTCAGAACTTGTCTGACTATCTGAACAAGGCATCTTATTGAATGCTTAAAACAGAAGTTTAATATTGTCTAACAATGATAGAATTCATGAAGATAATATTTATAAGACTATGAATCTTACATAGATCTCTGTCAATACTTATAAAATGCTCTGAAAAAGAAGTTATTAGTGAGACTGCTAACAAAGTTACTGATAGCAGAATTATATATTAATCTATTTCATCAGTCTGACTGATATCAAGAAAGCTCTAGAGAAGTTATTTCATACTATAATAACAGATTCTCACATAAAGCTCTCTCAATAATATTATGAATATCTAGATATCTTTTAATAAGATAATATTATAAATATACTCTCTTTACAAGGCTCAGAAGTGTATTACAGTATCAAGTTAGAAAAGAAGAATAATAAGAACTCTGAGTCATTATAAGACCTTCTTTATAATATGTCTCAAGATAAACTTCTTCTTCTTCAGAAGACACTCAATGATCTGTTGAATAAGAAATTCATATATATTAGTAACTCTTTCACTGCAGCTTCTATTCTCTTTGAAAAGAAATCAGATAAAGAACTCTGATTCTGTGTGAACTATCAATATCTGAACAGATTGATAAAGAAAGATTATTATCTCTTATCTCTTATCAATGAAACTCTAGCATGTATCAGACAAGCTCAATAATTTATAAAGTTAGATATTATTATCATGTTTTATAAGATTTGTATTGCTGAAGAGAATGAATGACTCACAGTATTCTGAATATGTTATGACCTCTTTGAATGAGTAGTCACACTCTTTGACCTAGCTAATGTCTTCAGTACATTTCAGAAGTATATCAACTGAGTACTCTGAGATTTTCTTAATAAGTTTATATCTGTATATCTAGATGATATTCTCATCTTCACTGACAGATTCAGAAAGAAATATTAAGAATATATATGAAAAATATTACAATAATTATGAGAGACAGAACTATCAATAGATATTAACAAGTATGATTTCAAAGTCAAAAGTATAAAATACCTAGGTTTTATCATAGAAGCTGATTAGAGAATTCAAATGAATTCTGAGAAGATCTCTGCTATTCTCAAGTGAGAAGCTTCATATACTGTGAAAGATGTATAAAGCTTCATCAGATTTGCTAACTTCTATCAGTGATTTATACAAAACTTCTCAGATATTATAAGATTACTTACAGAACTTATTAAGAAGAATTCAGTATTTCAGTGATTAGCAGATACTGAAGCTGCATTTATATAAATAAAGAAGATATTCATTAATACCTCTCTGCTGATAATATTTGATTCTGATTATAAGATAGTTATTGAAGCTGATTTCTCTAACTATATCACAGAAGAAGCTATATTATAATATAATAATAAAAATGTCTTATAATTATACATCTTCATGTCTAAGAAACTGAGTTCTGTTGAATACAATTACAAGATCTATGATAAGAAACTTCTTACAATTGTACACTGTTTAGAAGAATGAGACTCTGAACTCTGAAGTATCTTCAAATTTAAGATAATCACAGATTATAAAAATCTCAAGTATTTCACAATTATATACAAGCTTATTAAATGTCAGATATAATAATCTGAGCTATTAAGCTGTTTTCATTTCACTATACACTATCATCTCAGTAGTCAGAACTCAATGACAGATACTCTCTTATAATAAAAGCAAGATATCTATTGAATAAATCAGAAACACTGACTCTTAGATTCAAAGATATTAGTTAATCAAGATAAAATAACTCATAACATTATACATACTTCTTCACTTAGAACACTCTCTCTCCGAACTGTTACTAATACTGATATTAATATTTTAACTTCTTTCTTATACACAGTTATTATATAAAAGTATTAAATCTTCTAGAGATTATATAGTTCACACTGAATCTCTGCAGTCTGATTCAGATTATTAATAACATAGTAATAAAGCTCTAAGACACTTATGACTGAGCAGAAGTCTTCATAATAAGTATTAAATAAAATCAAGAGAACTGAATTAATATTCACTGAGATCTTACTGAGTAATATAAGATAGAAAATCTGATATAATTAAATCTTAAGAATATACAGATTATATACTCATCTCACACACTGAATTACTATTATATAAAGTATAAAGTGATAGAAGTTCTAAACAGTTATAACTATTATCTTAATATATTATCAGAAATTTATAATATCTTTTATATAAGTTTACTCAGCTATACTATTACTGATCTGTTTTCTTCTTAACTAACTTTTAACTGACAGCTATCAGAAATCATAGAAGAAGATAATAAACTTAAGTAAGAGATTGAAGATATTCTTAATAAAAGACTCTGCAGCTGCAGCTGATACTATTTTATAAAATAAGTTAACTATAATAATTTTGATCTGAACTCAGAGCTCTGTGTTATCTAAGACAGTAGCTTTTAACTAATGAGAACTATATATCTCTGACTCTATATCACTTCTGAAAAGAGAGAACTAATATGACAGGCTGTATCTGATCAATTATATAGACTATTTTATTACACTTCACAGATTTCACTGAAAGCTCTGATTCTCAGTTATTAATTCTCAGCTGAAAAACTCATAAAATTTCTATTCTTCTGCTCTGAAGCTTCACTATGTATGTGTATAAATATTCACTTCAATTACTGATTCTCATACTTTCTCTTTCTTTTCTTCTCTAACATTTTTCACTTTGTTATATAAGACCTATAAATATTATACCAATCTATTCGGCGTAGGCCCCTTAGTACTTACACAGGGAATGAGTATAAGATGCTGCAGCTTCTGTGGGTCACATGATGTGTACGTAAGCATGCCCTAAGCCCTAGGCCTTACATTGAAGTCGATTTTAACTCTTCTCAAATAGTGGAGGGTTTTTTCTAGATTATAATTCTCTATCTCCGGAATGTTCTTTTGTCTCCGTCTGTCTTGTTGTCTCGCGCGCGGATCCCAGGATCCACTACCTTTTCAACCAGCCACTCCTATCTATTTCTCATGGCACCTGAACAACCAATATCATTAACTCTCGATGACGTGCTCATTAACTAAGGCCTCAAGGGCTTCTGTCGTCCATTCCTGGCAGCGCTTGATCGGCTCCTCCGGATAGAGCCGCCGAGGACCCTCGAACTGCTTTTTTGGTGCAGGGATGCCTCACAGATCGCCTTAAAATGAGAGAAATTTGCTGCCGACGCCTTTTCAACAAAAACATTGCTTTGAAAACTAGCAGACTTCTCTGGCTTCTTGCCGGGTTTGTCTTCGAAAGTCATTCCATTTTGAATATTGCCCGTTACTTGGAGGAGATGGCCAGATTGATCGTCATTTGTTACCAATAGCGTGGTGGTCACGTGGCAAACCAGCGTAGGCAACCCGGTAATAAGCGAAGAAAAAGTACGCCCAGCATGGAGGGGTTATCCGGCACTTCTGATGTGCAATTAAAAAATTGACCTGTCCGATATACGCCTGTGACAAGTCTTGCATACCTTGGTGCGCTGGCATGATATGTGCGCAAGCCGAACAACTCATACTTGAATTTCCACTTTTTTGGGGGACTCAAGGGGAGATAGATCAATGATATATGTCTTCTGTTCATTTTCTTGTGCTTTTAATGCTCTACCATCACTTTGCAACATCTCGATCATCACAACTAGAGATATCTTGAGAATGGTGAAAAAGAAATTTCATCACAGCAAAATGAATGACAAGGCCAAACAACTGATGTCTGACCAGGAATGTCTGATGATTGAATACAATCAATCACTATCATCATGAGCTCTCTCAACATTATCAGGTTTAATGACTTACTGACTTAATTTGCTGTTTATAGACCATATGAATCCCCAGTCATCATCATCACAATAGGATGCAAAAAATATGTTATTCCAGGATGTTATCTCTGAAAGTACCTGCAGTGGAACAGAAATTTGACTTGGAATCCATACATCACACTCCCTGATGTTGATGAGGATATTGGTCACACCTTGGTGCATTTTTTATATACAGGCACCTATGAGACACTAGGCTCAGCACTCAATCCAGATATTTCCTACACCGCGAGAGAATTCAGAAGGAGTGCCCTAGTTTATCATGTAGTCAGAACATACAATCTATCTGAACTTGAGACACTTGCTAAGAAGTATATTGAACATTTTGAGAAATCAATTTCTATTTTCAATATACTACAGGCGGTGAGAAAGATGTTTTCAAAGCACTCTGATCACAAAGTTTGGCTTCTCAGCTATATCAAAACAAAACTTGAGAAAGTGTTTGTGTCTGATGAAACAACTTTCAAGCGTGACAAGTTTCACTGTGAACTTGGAGAGGATCAAGTTTTTCACAAGGCTGTGATGAGAATGATTGTCAATATTTACTGTGCCTGGTTGTTGTTTATGCGAAGTACCCTTGACAGTCAGAAGAGCCGTGTTGAAGCTGGAGCTGAGGATCTTCCTGCTGACAGATATCTGGATAAAATGTCTCCTGCTGAAGAACATGTCACTGAAGCATATCTCGTCGAAGATACTGCCGCTGAAGCATATCTCATTGAAGAGTGTGCTATTGAAGAACCTCCCGCTGAAGCATATCCCGTCAAAGAACCTGCTGAGGAAGAACCCGCCCCAGAAGAGCCTTCGTTTGAAGACTGTCCCGTCGAAGATCCTCTCGCTGAAGACCCTCCCCAAGAAGAGCCTCTCACTGAAGCATATCCCGTCGAAGAGCCTCTCGTTGAAGAGTGTCCCATCGGAGAGCCTCCAGCTGAAACGTATGCCACCGACCAACATCCTGCTGAAGAACCTCCCTTAGAAGAACATCCGGATGTCAGTCTCTATGCTAATTAGAAAAAGCATTCCCCAAAAAAGAGGCTGAAAAGACGCAAGATTCTCCAGAAGAAGGGCCTTCCAATCCCAAACCGAGATGGGACCTTTCCGGTCTCGAATGTTACTAGGGTGTCAAAAGATGATGAAGAACTAGATTTCATTTGAAGGTGTCTGCAGATGTTTCAGTTTTTCTATACATTGGCGCGTGGTTGGTATTTTTATACCGTTTACCCTTTCTTATGTTTATTATGCACTTTGAAGGGGCTGAGGCCCGGTGTGTGTGTGTACAGTGAACTTTAGAAAGGCAGAAATCCAAAAATCCAGGTAAGTGCGACTGCAACCTTAATCAAGATAAAGACGATTAAGAAATGTAGAAGTCAAGAAATTTACCCCTTTCTTCAGGGCCAGATATAAAATTTGCTGCTGCGACGTTCACCTTTTTGCTTTGACAATTTTGGCTATAGGCGCTCTGGCTTGGGGAGAACCACGACATGCAAATTTTTCAAAATAAAATAAAAATAAAAGACCAGCAGCGACGCTGAACAACGTTTTCTTGCTGCCGGCTGCGAAAAAGTGCATGTGACACGGAAATTGTTCCCTATCATTCCAAAAAGAAACGGCAGACATCAATATATTTCAGGAGGGGCTCGGGATCCTATTGATTTGATTCTTTTCATGACTTCAACCGGCGTGCCTGACTGCTCCATGTTTTCTTTGCTAGCTTTAGGTGTTCTCATCTCGGAACATTCTTTCATCGCAGGATCGAAACCAACGTTCTCGTTATCCATAAATATGGGATCACATTCCATCCAAGTGGGTGGTATGTCTGACATATATTATCCATAAGCACGGGGCGATTCTGATTTGGGGTTGTGTGAGAAGGATATCTCCCGCTCTTGCGGCTTCAGCTTAGAAGCATTATTCAACACAGTCTCTGAACACATGTCAGCATATGCTCCCAGTTTCCAGTTGAGATATCAATTACCTTGTTCCTGAACAATCTTTTTACCATCTTGCTTAGGGCTGGCACACCCACCTGCAGTGTCTTCCGAGTGATTGGATTTGAAGGTGGTGGAATCCGCCCTGGCTTCGCGAAGAGCTTCTACAAGTTCTTTCTCATCAGAATGCTGATACCCATATCCTGTTGTCACACTCTGCTGGGGACTTTCATCGATGGGGCTGCATGGAGGCGTTTGGGCCGGCGGAGTATTGGCAGGGGCCTTGTCATTGAGCTTCATTGCTTGAGGCATGGTGGTAGTTGATGATAAAGAAGTCTTGGAAACTGGGTCTGGGTAACTGGCTTGGTGAGGTCCGTGAGTGTCTTGAATGTCTGTTCATTGCCTCAGGATTTCAGGGGAAACTGTGCCTCCTTATACACCATTCTGTCGACACTCCTGGCACCTATTCTTTTGTCGTCTCCCCCTTCAGCTTGGGCCACGTGGATACGGGAGGAGCTTGCCGTCGCTCTCCCAAAGTTAGGGTGTATAAAACTGTGCCGCAGGATACATGGTCTTGACCTAGTCAATGTGATATGACAACCCGCTGGCGAAAGCTTGCCGTCTTCTGCTTTGCATAGCGAATCACCCAACTATCCAGGTTGTGCTATAGGACTCGGTCTCGATCTCGTCGGACTTTTGTCAATCTGAGAACTAGCCGTGTCGAACTGTCCGCGGCACATCTCGCCGTACCAGAGGTTGCCCTGATATCAGAGATGCTATCAGCCCATGATGGATGGAAAATTATCGCTTCTGTTTGGCGGTCCGATTGGCCAACAGCTCAGGAAAATGAAATCTAGATGGCAAGTTTGTTGTCCCTGAACCCTGTGCAGCTGGAACAATCGATTAGAGAGAGTTGTTGAAGGGCAAAATTGTGGCTTGCAGTATCATTATAGCTCACCCCTTGTCAAAGTGGTAGTCAATGAAAGGTGGCTGGCGATCTGCCGCTCGATGCTACAAATTCGCTTATTGATGAGGCGCCAAAGGACGAAGGATGATATTGCCGCGAGACCATGGTGCAGGGGATGCTATCAGTCCGCTTGGGTCTGATTGGTAAACATCTCAGGAAAAAAAACCTAGATGTTATGTTGTTGTCCCTGAACCCTGAACTGAAGACAGTCGAGGGGGAGAATCTTGTCGTAGCTTGCAGTAGGGGAAGATCCCGTCGAACCATATTACAACTACATCAAAAAAGAAAAAGCTGTCCTTGCTGAAATCTAGTGACTAATAGCCAGCAGCAGAAGGTACTGAAGTTATGGGAGCTGCGGGAAAAACAGGAAAAACAGAACAAAGGGAAAAAAGGGAAAATAGGGGACTAGTGGGACGAAGGCTGCAGGAAAAACTCGAACAGAGCTCGATTATTCCGTTTCTTCCGTTTCTTCCATCCGTTCTGGTTCTTCACCAATCCTCTTGCTCGTTATTCAGAAATACCGTGCCGCCAACGCCGTCAAACAAAGACCCTCTCATAAAATCGCTTGAAGGGGAAAGAGTCAATGGGAGGTTTATGCCGGATCATAGTTTCTTGCTGCACCAGTGATTTTGCGTTCTCAAAGAATAATGGCTCTCATTCAAGGTTATCTATTTCCCCTCCGTATCAGGCCTTTACTACAGCCTTGTGCGAGAGAAAAAATCCGTCCGGCCCCTCCCCCAACAAAACCTTCCCTTTTCTCCTGAAAGAAGAGTCAAACGACTTCCCAAAATTTGCACCATCATCATCGTATTATTGTATTTGAACCTTATTGCATGGAGAAATCCCTCTCTATATCAACCGTGAATGTTTCAACTCTGACATTGTCAATAAACTCTCCTGACTGCATTACACTCCGAGTTCTATACTCTACAGAGTAAGTCACCTCCTATCTTTTCTATGCCGTAGCTAAGAAGTCACTAGGAAGCTGACTTCCACTCTAGAATTATATAGAATGGCAATTCTTTACATCGCTGTATATAAACCCCGGCAGACCCTAGGAACATATCATTGGGCTCTGTACCTTGAAGAAGGGGACTCTCACTTGGTGTTTCAAGTTGTCGGAAACCCAGGTCAATTTCGGTACCAAGAACTCTCCAGCCGCCCAGAAAATACCGATCGTCATGTTGAGAATATCTTTGTGGCAGATATCAACGATATCGAAGGCTATCGTGCGGTAGTTAATTCCCAGGCAGTTGATAATGAAACCTACCATTGGGGCTGCCAGCAGTGGGTCTTCGATGTTTTGGAATCTTTACTCGATGACAGTATCATTACGGACTATATCATGGTGAGGCTAAACACAAACTGGAGATGATCTTTCAAGTTGAGATCGAAGGTGATGAGTGATGAGTGCGTAATGCCTGCTTCCTTCTGTCTAAAATTATAATTCTAATTGGATAAGGTTTTCGAAAAGGTTTTCGATCTACGGTTTGATAAATTGGTCCGACAACAGCTTTGGAAAGATGTGGTTAAGTGCCAAGGTAGTCCAATAGCAAGTTTTGCATAGTTACAAAAAGGTCTATCTATGACACGAGTTTCTCAACGAATTGATCAATAGCAAACTCAGCAAAGTACATCCCCATGCCCTTATGTGGAAGAAAGAAGACCCAATCGCCCCTGCGTACAGGTAGCATTGTATTAAGAGACTTTAGAAACTCCCAATACTCCGGGTAAACTCCGCCTAGCTCCCAGTCAACAAGCCCGGTCACTCGAACGGATTGATCTCGCTCCTTGCTAACCATTATATTCCGTGGATGCAAGTCACCATGTGTCATGACAATTCGGTGATCATTGCGTAGCATAGAGTGCACAAACTCAACATAGGCTCTCATTGTAGGTGGGTGGTTACCTGAGATGAGGAATTCGTTGAACTGAGCTTCGTTCTCAATCTGTTGTGGACTTACCCGCTTCCACATTCTGCAGTCAATGCAGTAAGGTGGATTACCACCACCAAGGCAATGAGAAGATAGAGGGAGCATCCTAAGTTTCTCTAGGATAACATCTAACTGATCTCGGATAGAAAATTTTTCTTCCGTAGAGAGGGAAGACCAGAGCTTATCCAAAGATGAGCCTTCAATAAAAGTCATGAACATGTAGGTTGTCTTGCCGATAGAAATTGCTCCTAGGGGATGAGGAACTGGAATATCCTTCGAGAGACTCTGAATATAGGCTGTAATATCGGCGTCCGTTAGAAGCAAATTATGCCCAAGCTTGACAACAATCCGTGCATCAAGTTGTATGACGGCCCGTGAAAAATGGCCCCAAAGCACCTTTCCATTTTGCAAAGCGCGCGAGAGAGCCAAACGAACTGCGAGTTGATCGTCATGGTTGCTGCTGGATAAGCAATCCTGCTCACAACCATATTTCCGCAAAAGCGTATTGACTTCAGGCGCAAGGGGCCGAAGAATGACCGGAATCTCTGCTGGGATTAAGAAAGCCTCTTGAATTTGGCGTGTATTTGGAGTGTTGCTGCCACGACCTATACAGCAAGATTAGCATTGTTTCCTCCTACGTATGAAATACCTAGGTCCTTACGTACAGCTTTGGCTCTTCCTACCACATACCTCCTCCAGTTTGCGACGGTCTGATGGGTACTTCCGACCCCATCTTATAAAGAATTTACTGAGATCGGCTGATCGATTCCAGTTTAACTTGGTACGTAGTTCAGTCGTTGCCGACTCATTCAGTGCAATGAAGCCTGAAAGAGCATCTCCATCTTCGTCGCACCCCCCTTTTCGTGCAGCATCATCCAGCTCGGTAGAACAGAGGGGCGTAAGGGATGACGTTGGAGGAGATTGATTCCTTCCGAAAAAGTAAATAACGGGTAAAGTGAGGACGAGTGCGGTGCTGGCGCCGAGAAAAAAGCTCAGGCAAGTGTCCGGTCTAATGAAATTGCTAGACATTGCTTCAGAAGCTCCTATTTGGCTGGCGGTGCGGTTTAGAAGGACATGTTTCTCGTGCGGCTCTGACAGCTTCAAGTAATATCCACGCTCCGTCTTTCTTCCAGAGATCCTTGCCAAGCCTGTATGGCGGCTTCCGTCACCTGACTCATAAATTCCTGATCCGCTGTTACAAGGAATGTTTCTCCGCGATGGTTCTACCAGCAGCAGGGCTATACGATTCGAGGCGAGCTACCTCAAGACTTTCATGTCCATTTCAGTATTCGATACAGTCTATCTAAAGTAGCCTGGTGAAGCCAAGCAAGTCAATTTAGACAGATAGGGTTACTAAATAGAGTTTAATATCACGTGGACAAGCTAACAAGTAATCACCCTTGTATTACACCTTCGTGTAATCAGAAACTTAACGCATTGGTGCCTAATTTGTTGATTATTATTATTATTATTATTCTTCAATTATAGATGTATGCAGTTAGAGACTATGACATCTAGACTGACCGTGTGACCGTGTCTGAGACCAGGACCAGATTTTTTAATAGTCTCATTACCAATTTGACTGATTCCATTACATGGTTTTAACATTAAATAGTAGTCTCATACTGTTTCAGTGAGACTTACTGTCTACTCTTGTCACATTTTTCAAATGAGATCATAATTTCCACTTCTCAATTTAAATTATTTTTATTGCTTTAAATGACTTTAAATCTCATTTAAGTGTTATTAAAAAGTGTTACTTTTTAAAAAATTAAAAATAGTCTAAAAAAAACCTTAAAATATCTAAAAATAGTAACTTTATGTCAAGAATGAGACTAAATGAAATCAAATGAAACTACTTTCTCATTTTTTTCAAGTCATGATTTCATTTTAAGATCTGATATATAGTCACTTTGCATGTTTTTTTAATGACTAGTCTCAGCAGAATTCATATCAAGAAATGTATGAGATCAGATTAAATGAGATTAAACATGAA